TCGAAGGTTTTGTGTACGTTCCGAGAGGCAACATTTTACGCAGCATTTCTTGCTCCTGCACTGGTCATTCGAATAGCATTTATGCTCCTAAATGAGAATGTTTCGTAAACAGTTCGCATTTGAAAATTATTTTCAGAGTGGGGATTCTCGAGTGATGATTTCGTTCCACGAAAGTTTCGTGGATTACTACGGCTTACTGTAACATGGGAAATGCTTAATCTTGCTCAATACCTGGAATTAAAAATTTATCAACGCGAAACGATCGCGAGATGAAATTATCCACGTGATTATTTTCGCAGCTTCCTCTTTAGAAATTTTCAAACGATCCCGGTAATTTGGTAATACCGTAAATTATTAATGCAAATTGTCCATCTCGCTGCAGTCGAGAATATTGAAAAGGAATATGTTTGAATTTGTCAATTATCGAATTTGTTAAATATCGAAAAGCCGGCGATCCGTTTTCAATACGCTATTCGTTAGAATAATTTATTTGAAATAAAATATGAGGTTTAAATTACTCATCTCTCCGGTAATATAAAAAAGAAGTCAAATTTCATATCATAATTGTTACCTTTATTTTCTGAAATTGCATAGTCTGTTAAAACACACTATTAAATGTAGAAAGAAAGATTTCCTGATGACAAGATTCACTTAACGAGAAAATCATAAAAGTTTCGAAGAGTCCTTGATTATCTTGTTCGACCTCTTCTTAAACTTTTCTCTTCTTCCTCCTCGGCAAATCCTACAACCCTTAAGATAATTCTTTACAATCAGAGTTTGAGCCCAAAGTGATCAGACACTTCAGATTTCTCGATAAAATATGTTTGCAGGGAAATTAAAGAATTTCTCGAACTTTGAATTATCCTTCATCATCGAGGACTTTGTCATTTCTTGTTTCTTCGGTTTCCTGTCTCCCTTGAATTCCTCCAAGAAAACACTACAGATTTCTCGTTAGCAAAATCTTTTTAAGGAGGAAAACTCCAAATTTGTAATCAAGTTGAATTTACGAATCTATGCATTCTCGTATATTCATGATTCCTTTCATCCTTTTCAGTTTCGCCGTTCTCGGATTAGAACCAGTCCATACGCGGCCGCGTAATTATTCCACGCGTTTCACTTGGAATTTTTCAGCGTGTTTCCTCTCAATTACTGGGGCCCTTTAAGCTCCATGTGTACACGTGCAATCGACAAACGGAAGTTTAATCTAAATTCCGCTTCCAGACCGTCTTTGCACAGCTTCGCTTTTGATGGCGACGGCGTTGCTTTGGGTATTCGACGCCCGAGCCGACATAAATTTTTCTCGACGCAAAGGGAAACATGGACATCCATATGCAACACATTTTTCATCAAATTTTCTTCCTTCGTCGCCTAATTTCCCCTCCTCTGACCCAGAAAACGCCCAGAGAGAAAAGCACGCTATAAAGACGCTATAACCGTACATTCATTTTTAAAGATTCTTGGATTCGAATTCTTCTGAGTAAATTTATAAATTTTTTATATTTACTATACTCTAGTCATGTTTCAAGTATTTTACTTTTCTCTATATCCATTGTAATAATATTTTATTCTACAGCTGCAACTTTAGTTTTTTATTCGACGAAAAATTCCAAAGGAAAAAATCAGTCGTTCAGTTTACCAAAATACACCCCATGTGTATTCGACTCAGGCAGGAGTCATTTAGCGTTCGCAGCCATTTCCTTCGTCTTCCCTTTCGCGCGTGCGAAGTGCCGCAGTTTAGCCAAAGCTCCTCTCCCCCACGCGCGGCGCGATGGAAACTCGGCTCTCCATTTTCCAAGCGTAATCGTTTCGCGAATTTAATTTGGCGACGAAGCGGGACTGCGAAGAACCAAGTTTCCTTGGGTGGGCGTTGTTGCGGCCGTGAAATACGGCCTTTTTCTGATTACAACCGCCGCGCCCAGCGGCGTGATCCGCCGCGCTGATTCCTCGATTTTAATTAACGAACGTCGGCTTGTAAACAAATTGCCAGCCGGAAACGATCTCGAGCCGTTTCGATTACATCGACGATCGAACCCCGACGTTTCATTACGCGAGTTCGTGAAATTTTATCGCCGATACGGAACGATTCTCACCGATATTGCGGGGTATTAATTTCCGCTGGATCGTAATTATTCTTTTCTGTTTAGTTTTCATTGATAGTTTAAGGTCTCTCGAGAAGTTTTCGAATTCATATTCCTCTTTCAATATTGAACGCTTTTTTGTGGGGTTAATGTTTGATCATAATCTACCCAGTTTGCCCAGTGTCCAACGCGAACAAAGCACTACTACTCGCGCAGAAAATACTTCCATCTATTACTTCCTGTGTGTCGAACGACCGAGCAAAAGAAACGAACTAGCAAAACTTTAAAAGTCCTTTTCGTACCATGTTCCACGTGCGTCTGACCATTACTCATTAATTCTACTTGCCACGAAAGTTGCGAATATTGATGGTAGCGTTGTCTATTTTAACCGGTTTAACTTTTTAAAGAGATAACAAGATCGATGGAAACCCAACCACGCTATCATCAATATTCACGAAGAATCAAGTAGAAATAAAGAGTAATGATCAGACACGTCGACCTCCGTTCCCGAAATAATTCTCCGCGACCGATCTTTTTCGAAAATCTTTCCCAAATTCGCGGAAACTTCCCTACGAAATTAATTCCATTACCCAGAGGAAGGGGTGTGAGTTGGTGCAGATAGCGACAATCCTCGCTTCCTCGCAATTAACGTCGCGGACGAGCCGCGTTTCCTTTTTCGAATCCGTTTTAAGCAAACTGCGCCTCGCCAACCCTCGCCTCTCACTTATCTCGGCAATTTCCGAAGCGGCGGTCGCGCGACACGTTCCCCAGGAAATCGTAACGTTATCGGCGATGATAACCGGGACATCCGCGGCGAACCGAAACTCCCACGGCAACGGTGGGGGTTCTAACGTGACAACGCAACCGATCGGTCGCGCGCTTACCCAGTAATTTTACAATTTCCTCCCGCGTATCCGTTTCCCGGGCGAACCGATGCGCGCAAGATTTACCGCGTAATATACACGGCAATCATAATCGTTCTCGGGGAAATTTATCCTCCTCCTTCTCCTCCTCCTCCTCCCCCCCCTCCCAGTACCCACCACTAACCGGTTTGAAACTGCTTCTCTGGCGGCATTGCTGACGGCTGAGGGGTGAAAGCCAAGTTTCAGAAATCAGATACGACGACGATGGCCCGTAACACGTAATGCGTCAGGATTTCTCGCGAGATTATACGATATAATACACACCCAGACGTTTGCATATTTCACGTAATTCCCCCCTTACTGTTCGAGGGAGTGGTAGGAAATTTCATCCTGGGGAAATTGGTAGTTAACACTTTGGGTTAATTTTAGGCAGGTTTCTGGATGGTTTTGAGGGAAATTATGACGGATTTTAGAATGAACGAGTTGTTAAGTTAGCACTTTGGAAGACTTTTGTAGTTTCTCTTGTGTTTTTAGGAACTGTAACTGGAAAATTGTTAGTATTTTAAAGGAGAATCCTCCACGAGAGAAAGACACGTAGCAAGAATTCTTCCCTTTGGCGTAATTCTGTCTTCCATCCCCGTTACTTATCTAATTTTTATGGAGTTGATGCTGCGGCTCGGAAAATTGGCAGAGGGGTGCCAAAAATTCACCGTCCACCCCTTCGTCGCGCTTTATCCGTGCGGGGTAATTAGACGGAAAATAACCAGGACACCGTTGGACGAAAAATTCGCGGTCTGCGGTTACAGTGTCGCTGGGAAACACACCTTCCGGCATTCTCGGTGAATAAACGGTGCAACCACCCTTATGGTAGATTGGAATATTTCCTTGCCCTTTCTCCTATTGCTGGTTCTCGTGTTATTTGATTTTGGAATAGCTTCGAGCCACCTTGAAAAATGTCCCCCCTCGAGCATCCAGCCATGAAGTGGGTCTCGTGAAAATTTGAAAACGTCTGGATCGCTTAACGCGGTAAAAAATGGTCAGGGGAGAGAGTTTTCATTGTCGGCGGTTATTAAAAAGTTGCGAAATTTGTCACAGATAGGAGTTAATTTTTTAGTTCTGGCTAGCGTGGAAAAAATCGACTATTTATTCCTGGAACGAGAGCGTCGGCCACCTTCATTAAAAGTTCAACGGACAAATTGTTGAATTTACGTGTAATAAATTCAGTAACGATAATTTTATTCGGCGATAACGAACGTAACAGGTTAAAATTTCATATGGTAGTCACCGAAGTGTATAAAACTTCGCCTCTCGTTTTCAACATTGAAATACGTGTACGTTAATTTTTCATTTCTGTGAAAATAATTCCGCAGCTAACACGCTTACATTTCCATAAAAAGATTGCACGCGCCCTGGTTTATTTTCGGCCACATATTTATTTTCGTTTCGTTGTCTCGACCGTGGCGTTCTGAAAATAGTCGATAGGGTGACAAAAAATTATGTTCGAATTATTTCCCGCTGAAATTATGCTTTTCTCGAGTAGAACAAAAATTGATCGAGCCAATTTTTCAACAAGCTCTTTTGTTAGCCGGGCGAACGCAATTTTTCCTTAATTTCACGGCTTGCCTACCAACAATGGAAAGCGTCTTTCGATAAACCAGGAAACGTCAGGGTGAGAAAGAATGCGCGAGATGAAGAATGAGATTTAAATTTGAATGAACGAGGATGCGGGGCGAATACACGAAGAAACAGCGTAATGTATCATCGTTAGTCGTAAAATATGCGAGGTGTTGGCTAATGACTCTCAGCCTGATTAAATTACGAAGAATGCCACTGTCCTCCCTTTCGCCAACGTTATTGCATGCAAATGTTCACCTATACGTCCACGATTAAGGGCGAACACTTATCATGATATGATAAAACGTTCAGGAATTAAGAATCATCCTTTTCTAAATTAATACCGAATGTAAAGAAGGACGATTAACGTGTAATTATTTTTTCCTGAACTTTGTATTAAATTAAAAATATCTATAACAATAATATCATAATTGTTAATACATACCGGGGGATAATCACCGTATTTGGTTTGGTAGTCGAACACGTAGAGGTAAGAGTTCCGATGAGATTGACTGTGGAGGTCTGCTGTCCTCGTAGCCGGCGCCACCGTGTTAGCGTCGCCCAAAGCCTCGAGGGTTTCGTCTCTGAAAAATTACAAAAATATCCCTTTGATTCTCGACTTTTATTTGAGATTCTCAAATATGGTTTGGACCAATCAGAACGTGGAGGATTGCTTGATAAATCGATCTAACCTCAAAAATTACTATTTCATTTTCGAGGCTTACTTGATGTTGGCAGGATGTTGCACAGGTCTCTCCCAGTCTGTGTACTCGTTGATTATGGTCGCCAGGATCTCTGCTTGGTGATAGGTATACGTATTCCGAACGAATTCCCTGAGAATGTTCGTCCTTCTGTCAGCCTCGATTCCATATTGAGCATCGTTGGCGGTCAATGAAAAGTATGCTTCCGATCGTACCACGCCGATCATCAGATCATACCTGAAAAATCAACTATGACTTAGTACTAAAGTATTCTTGGCCAGCATATCAATTTTTTCTTTCAGAATGGACTAGAATTTCTATTTCAAAGCGAACGACTTTCGAAAACTCGTTTGCCTATCGCTTATTAGTATAAAGTTTGCACTTCGATTGGGAAATATTATATTAATGACATTCTGTTGACACTTCATAACGAAGCAAACGGTTCCCGTTCATTATGGTCATCGTCATTCGTATTTACGTATCATTTCGAACTCGATCGATCGATTAAACACACAACTTCGGCGCAGGTAATATTTCATAAATATTTAATGGGAAATATGCGCTGATGTTTCTCGTTTCCAATTATAGTTTCCCATATGTAGTAATTATTGTATTGTCCCGGATAGTATCGAATAGTTTTCGAGTAGGACAAACAGTAGATGAACTAGTTAACGTAAAGTCAGAAGGAGAAATAGTTGATGCTGGTCGAAATAAGAAATTATTTTGTTCAAAGAAACTTGCGACGAATGTGGGGAAGTCCTCGATGGGATTGCTGGGCGCGTCAGGAAGTAGCAAGGGGGTGAAAGTAGAAAGGACTGGTGAGAAACGAAGGAACGAGATAAATACAAAGAGCTCAAAAATAAAGGATGATGATATGGCCCAACGGAGGAAGAGAAAAGAGGGTGCAGAACAATGTATTCGAGAAAGTGTACGTCGATGGGGTGACTGTGAGGGTGGAAAGGTTGAAAGGTATAAGGTATAAAACAGGGGAGTCTGAGAGTGAAACGAAGAAATAGAAGGAATCCATAGAATGCCGCGAGTCTAGAGAGGGGTTGGCTAACGAAAACGCTCTATTTATCAGAGTTACGAACGGGAGCACCCTCCGCCACCCTTCATCCCTTAACCGAAGACCAGTAATGAGTTTCTAGGGCGCGTTGACCGATTTCCTTTCTGTTCGAGCTTCTGGCATCCTTACGATTAGAAGATCTGCTCTACGTTATAAACAAACTAAATTGATCTCAATTTATTTACCTAAATGTCATAGAGCATTAACAAGAAAAAGAAAACCACTAAATTCTCCTTCTCCATTCGACAGCAATCCAGAATTCCAAGATCCATGCTCCCTTGTCAGTTCACCCTCTCCCCTTCGTTAATTTCTCTGTTCGACTCAGAGAGCACATTCGGATCTTGGCACACCGAAACCGAGCCTCCGCACTCGAAACTCTGTTCCTTGGCACACAAAAGCAAGGGGAAGGCGAAGTTTCCTTCAGTCTATTTCTCCTCCATTCCCGATGGAACGGAACGGGGAAGCATTGGCAAGAAACAGCAGGGATAGAAGCACGAGGTTGGAAACAGGGTGAAAGAGAGTTCACCGGAAATACCTCGAGAGTTTGGCTATGACGTCCTTCCGCAGCAAAATGTTATTCAGCGTATTGATCGTGTCGACTTGCAAGGTGAAGTCCTGATCCTCTGGATCACCTGGATCAATCACGACGCCGTCTATGCTGGGCCCAAACGCTGGAGCGAATTGCAATCCCTTGACGGGCACCGAGAGCAGCACGTTTAGTGGCACGTCCCTGAGACACCTCAGCAACATCTGAGGATCACCTGCGGCCTGAACAAAGAGGACACGTTAGTTTGGACTTAAAACAGGACGGTTTATTCTGATTTCCCTAACGCGAGCGCAGCGCGCTTCGACATTCGATTGCGGCTGGCCTCCGTCTACATCGGCCGGGATTTCCAAAGGCGATTTGCTGGCTGGACGCTAAAGCAATTCATTTGCGTGCAGTCGAATTAAAGTCAATCGACGCGTCGCTCCGTACGGCGTCTCTGCGTTCCATTGCGCGGAACACCCGTTTACCGTGGCTTCGTTAACCCTTTTCGAGGGCGTCCGTTTCGCTGGAGATCCCACTGGGAGTTCCGAGGGGAACCATTGTTTGGTCGGATTTCGTTCGACCCGCCATCGAGATAGCGTCACTGCTCTAGGTGTTTTAGCCAAATCTGGTCCAAATGGTCTCGAACTGGTGCATATAGGATGCCTCGTGGCTATTTTCACTCCTCGACTCGTGGAGAATGCGAAGCGAATGTTATTTCATTGGAGCAAAAATTAAAAATTTGAACAGTGGACATTACAGAGCAGTCCTTTCGACAGAGCATTAAATCTATCATTTAATTTAGACTTTCTTCAATAGACATAGAGGGTACGAATATTTATTGGACTGACTGTATATCTTCTTGATATCTTCAGAACTAATTTTACAAGTTAAAATACGATAGTTAATCTAGAATATATCTAACACTCTCCACCCAAACTGATATTAAATCAACGAATATCGTTCCAATCCTGCGCCAAATGTTTCAAAACCAAACGTTGACAATCCCCCAATCTCGACACCCCTTTCAAACCTCGTCGAACCCCGATCGAAATCTCGCGGCGAAATTAATTTCGACATTTTTTTCTCCTCGGCAAATCGAATCAATTCCAGCCCAACCACGGGTATCGACTCGCGTAACATAATCCCGTTCGGTTTTCCATTTTCCCTGGACCCAGTTTTTCCGTCTAACTCGATGGGTGCAACACGAGAGGGGAGGGAACGATCGACTGCACTCGTCCAGATTTCGCGTTTAATCGTTATTTTCAACCGACTGCAAATCGAGGGGGCTGTTTAGGCTCGCCTACGCGGAACGTGTATCCTGGGCAACAGCGGAGTGGCTGTAAGCATCAGACGCGCATCGATATTGCCTCTCGATATCGTTCGATAAATCTTGAAACGCCGATTCTCTGGAATCGCGCTGTCGTTTTCCTCTGTTCCGGTTCGATCGTCCAAATTGCCGAACAGTCGCGATAAAAATCGTTGTGAATGGCGAGGAAGCATGAGAGGCTTCAATTTTTCATAGGGTTCAGATGCTCTTCTTCTAAATTTTTTTTTTTGGGTCGAAGCTTTCCAATATTTCACATTGCTGATGGAGTATTTTACATTTCGAAAGTTGTTCAAAATAGAAAATATAATAGGACATCACAGACGTACAATCAAAAATAACAAATGAAAAAAGTAAGTAAAATGGAATATATGAAACATCGGAACAAATTTTAAATCGTGGTTCGTTCCATTTTCTATGTTTCGTCGGAAATTCCGGTTTTACGCCCGTTCCAGTCACGGCGAACGTGGCGAAATTTGTATCTATCAAAAAATAACGAGTAGCAGCGCTGCGCTCGACTTTTATTCGCGGGGGAATTCCCCATTTGCGACCAAACAATTTACAAAACGGCGGGGGTGGACAACGTCGTAACGGTTTACACGGAAGCGCGCTCCGTCTATACATAAATTAAACTATCAGATTAAACCGGCGGAAACGGTGTTTTTACGTCCGTTAGTTACGCACTACCAATTATATCAACGATGCGTTTCAATTAAGCTAATATGCGCCCCGGACACCGCGGAATTCGCCCACTGGGAGTTGTCGCGTTTTAACAGCGAATAATACACGCTACGAAAATATCCTCCCGTCGAATACAATTAAACTTCGCAGCGATACGAATAGTAATGTCGGATACTCGATTTCCCGACACGTGTTTTCGCATAATCGCCATTGGTTGGTTCACCTCTCCTGCTTTCCACTTTTGGTTCGTTTTTTAATTTCACACTACCTTATGTATATTATCGTCAAACGCGAAAACGCAAGAAATATCAACTGGTATCGATCAGGGACTAGTCTGACACAGGGTCTGTGCGGACACGGTCTGATTCTACCCGCCACATAATTTTTCACACGTAACGTGACAATGGCGTGTCTGCCACACTTTACAGAAGAAGTTTAGTGGTTTATCCACCTCAGGGTTGTCACGGAATTGGGAACCATAACGTGACACGTTTCAGGCAGTACTCACCCAAGAGCAGTTTACATGTTTGGCAACTTGCAGAGCGTAATTTGCGGCTCCTCTCACCAGTGCCCATGGCGAAAGCGCGCTGCCAGACATTAGAACGCTGCGATGAAACAGCAGGCCTGGAACAATTTAAAAGTAGTTAGCGAGACGTACATATTTCGTACGACAAATTCGTCAAAAAAATTCATTTGGTAATACCGAAACTATTATTTAATTCATTCAAACTTTTTCGATAGACATAGAGAGTACGAATATTTATGGGATTGACTGTATATGGTTGCATTTGCGCAATTCTGAATCGTGTTAATCGTCAAATACCCTAAATTCCTGTAAAATGTTTCCCCAAGATGTTTTCAAGCGTCCACCCCTCTGCAGAATGTTAATTCTACCTCCGTAGGCAGGTTCTACCAACGAAAAAGATTAATTTCTTCCTCTCGAATCTACCTGCGAATAGCCGAGGAGCAAAAACAAGCGCGCGGCACGAAATAAATCGCCCCGGGGGGCAAAGTGCAGCCAGTTCGGATACCGTCGGGTCATTATCGCGGAAAAATCAAGTAAAACAGCCAACCCAGACTTCATCGTACGTCGAGGTATTCCGGGGGAACGCAAATTCATTCGGACGGTTGGCATGAAAGTGGCATACGTCGCAGTTTAAGAACAGGATTCTAAATGGATACGGAAATTTGTTACCACCCCCTCGCCTCGGCTTTCGTTGCCAACAGCGTCTATATCCAGGATTATAAATCGAGAACGCGAGAAAACCAGAATTCGAAGAATCCCGAATTCGTGTCTCCGTGGAGCAGCGTCTTTATTGTCGCGTTACACATTGTCGGAAGAAAGGATAAACGGGTGAGAGAACTGGTCGCTTTTAGAAGACTATTCAGAAGGAAGCTTTTCGAGAAATGAACATCGTTTGCATTTTAATTTCCATTCCAAATAAATATCCTCCCCTCAATTAACTCCGCGTACAATTCCCTGTTTTCTCGATTTCCAGCGCACGATTTTTTTTTCAGCCATCGTGACGTTAGGAACTCCAAAGTCCATCAGCCAGGAGTTACTTAAATCTGTGGCGGTAGTCGTTAATCTTCGTATCGGGAAGTCAGTGCTCGTTGGAGACGGGTAATCCTATCGAGGCCGGTTCACGAAGATACATCATTAACTGACTGAAAGCGGCCACGGTAGCTGTGTGCACCCCCGTGAGCGTATTTTCCAAGGCTTTTCCTCGGGGTGACTTCGATATCCGCCAACGAGTACTTTCGGCCGTGCGGTTATCGCGGTTTCGGCTGGCTTCGTTAGCGGATCGAGATAATGTTGTTTCGTGGCTCCGAGACAAAAGCGGCGGCCAGCGTTTTCCCCGGTCGCTTGTTTAATCGGAAACTTGGGTGTCGTTAATCTTCATATTGGGAGCCGAAGGATTCGCCTCCGGGGAGATTTTGCAGCGTGGATATTTTCGGTTTTGACGAAGGCGCGACTGATACCGCGATTGTTTGTGGAGGCGGTAATTGTTGCGAGGGATGAAATGGGAGATGGAAGGAAACGGGATGCTCCAATTGGAATAGAAATTTCGCGGAGATTTGGAAACGAAGGAAAAGTGGAGAGTGGTGGTGAATAGAGGAAAATGAGGAAAGAAGGGAAAATGAGATAATTTGGGGAAGTGGGGAATTACAGACGAGGAAAATTACTCTTTAAGGAATGAGAAATTCGCAAGATTGGAAATGAGGAAAATTGAGCAGTAAATTGGGAGTAACGAGAAACCAGGGATGAAAATTCGAGAATGACTGGCGGATAACAACGGACGTGGAGCACGGAAAATAACTCTAAATAGAGGCATGATGTGAATGGATTATCTCGCCGAATAGCGATGACCTCGTAGACCTCGAAGCGGAATATATACCGGCATTATATGCGTCGGCACGATTCTCTGAGAACGATTTCGTCGCGATGAAGCCTGTCGATATGTGCCCGAGAATCTTGCAGAGACATGATACTTATCTCCGTCCAAGATGCGTGAAGCCATTAGCTCTAGTTGCTATCAGTGTCCATGTTCCAGCAGTTTAGATGACGTCCCTTTGCTGTGCCAGCACACGTCACTCACGAGACGGACGATGACTGACGGTTTCCCTTAACTAATAACACATTTCTGTAATTTGCGTGTCTCCCGTGACAGTCTTGCCCTCTGTTTTCTGCACGATTGTCAGTTCGTTATTGTATTAGAACAGTAAACATCGAGACACTTCTTCCATTAATCGATCATTTCAGAACACTGGCAAAGTAGGAAAACCGGAACATTGAAAAAATGGAGAAATCAAACGAGTTATCAGTATCAGTTTGTGAATTCTGTCCGATATAGTTTTTCATTCTGCTTGCGTGGAACGTTGGAAGTAATTGTTTCCGCGCAATTTTTCCTTAATTTTCCATCCAACGGAGGAAATCACGCCTGGCCGCTCAATACCGCGAAAAGATGGTCACGACAGTTTTCATTTACCGGTGTAGTTGAATATTCTGTCCTGGTAACACGCGTCGGGGCACTGTTATGCACCGTGGCTGCTCGATATCCAGTCATGGGAAAATTAACCTGTCAGCTCACCCATTAATATGCATGTGTCCCGTTAGGTAGCAGGCAAGATGGCGTACTGCAACATCCGTCACTTAAGGGTACGTCACACTTTGAGATGTATACCAATTAAATTGCTTCCGTTGCAAATCTGCGGACCCTTAAAATTCCTTGGACTATAATAAACAGAGCAGCTCTTCAACAGTTATTTCTTAAAAGTACCAAAGTTGCACCCGAGTCAAAGATTTAGTGGAATTCTCATCATTTACGTAAGTAATTTGCATTATTCCATGCCAGGGTACGTCAAGTTGAACGTACAAATTAATAAATAAATTCCATTGTACGCATTGGTATTATATGTGTCACACAGACAGAGAAAAGGAAGCCGTAACATTTCGCAACTAGATTCCATGCCATGCATTATCTTGATAACCTACATGACACAGTGAAATTGCGACCGAGCCCACGTATGAGCGATGTTATGCGAACTATTGTAACGAACACTTCAAACTCACAGCTTTCCTTGAAATTAACTCAGGAGTAAAAATTCAGGAGTAAAAATGTGAAACACTAAATTTGCAGAAACTATGATTTATCGTAAACCTAGACCTCTCTGTATATCTGTACGTCTAGGCCTGACTACACACGTCCCAATTCTATTTGTCACTATTTTTCAATAATAAAAGATATTGAAAACCATAACTGATCCCATTTCTTCAAACATTTACCACAGAGAGACACCTGCACGTTTTGCATTGAAACGATATAAACGATATGAATGTCTGGCCAGACACGTCCCCATTCTACTGGCCACCATTCATACCACCGTCAAACAATGCATTTTGTTCCCCTTTCTCCCGTTAACGTTACTCTGAATTTTTCTCGTTTATTTGCAAAACCAACGGCTCTTCGTGTACAAATGTTTAATAAATTCAGGAGGCGGTGTTTCGCTGTTTTCATGGGATTTAAAAACGTGCTACGAGCATCAGACAGTTCTATCGATCGCATTCTACTTCGACAACAATGCTTTGTTATTAGTGCTCGCGTGAGTGATGCATTCATCCGTAAACGTAGAAATTTAATTCTATCACTCCGGAAATGTTTGGAAAATATTAGTAATAACGCTTTGTCTTTATTAAAATGACGCGCGAGTACAATGGGCGCCCAACGAATGGTAGCTAGCAGATCAATTGTTTTACGCTTTTCGAAAAAGAAAAGAAATCTCTGAGCCTGAAATTTATGCAAAAAATTATGTGAAAGAAGTGACCGTACAGGCACTGAAATAGAAAATATTTGAAAAAGGTTTGCGACTCATGAAAAAAATCAATAGAAAGTTGATTTACTTATGAACCGTGAAAGTTTTAAACATTCCGTCTGCTGTTCGAGGAAACGAAGATGCTTTTCTGCCATGGCGTGCTAGGAAGGCTACAGAGGACAGAAATGGGCGGAAGGGAGTCAAGAGGAGGTAGAAGCTTACGTTCTCTGGTAATATTCATAAGTTGCAAGCGGCTTTGCCGTTCTCTGCTCTTGTGGCCACTCGCTCGAATGTTTATGCGGTCGATATTTAAATTAACCGGGCCCTCGAACAAGTTTTTCCTCTTTGTCTGCGCTTATAAATACAATCTCCAGCGTGAATATTCGCGGTTCCGTGGCCCGTTAAGCGTTCGTTTCGCGTTGCCATTCTGCGACCATGACTCGTGGAAAAGAATCGTCCGCGAAAAGCTGGCAAGAAAATCGCTTTCCGTCATTCACGCTTTTCATATTAAGCCATTGCGAGAAATATCGCGCGCCTCGAAACCTCAATTTATGAAGTAATAACCGAGACAAACATAGTTTTAGGTACGGTGATCTACGGCCTCGTTCCATCCTTCTAGAAACAATCGCATTCAGCTGCAAAATTATGTTGGGTTAAAATGAAAAAAAAAAAAAATTGGAAGTAATTAATTGCTTCTTTTCCATGGACCGATCGTCTCGCATTTCCGAAAAGTTCGAAGTCTTGCAGACACAATTGGATAGCATTACGGTGAAATTCGGAAAATTGGCAAAGTTTCAAAACAGGGAATCTACACGTTCTAACGCCGTGCGTCCAACTTTAAAGTCGTTTTCTTCGAAACAACATTTTTCAATGTCTATGACGTAAACGTGTCAAGATTAAATGAACATTGGCGGGAAATTTTACAAACAGACGCTGCCTTTTTAAAAGGATTTTGCAAAGAATGCTGTTCTGAAATTTTATATTGCAATTCAATCATTTTTATCTCGACATTTGATTAGATCTCAAGATAGTCACACTTTTCAAGAAAATTCACAAACTTCCCTCTTTTGTTTTCACTTGGACGCCTCGTGGCTGATTAAATAAGGCATCTTGTCCAGCCATGGAGGCTCAGTGATCCATCAAGAGTCCTCAAAGAGTCCAGGCAGCGACAATCGATTCCACAGCGGCGTTTCAGTCTACGCAGACAGCGGCGCTTACACAGGTACGCGTCTGGTGCTGCCCTGGCAGCTATACGTCATTCCGCAGTACGGTAATGGGCAGCCGAACGTTATAGCGCAATATCGATCCGT